GTTTTTCAATTAATAAAATGCATTAATCTTCAAAAGAAAACAAATGTACCTGTGAAATTCTTGCTGTTATTTATTCCAATTCCCTTGCTCACATTTCTATGCATCCCACCGAATAACAAGTACAGCAACCACCAGTAACATTAATGGAGTAAGTGAAGCTGAGAGTTTTTGCACTCTTATCCAAGCCTGTGCAGTTGACAAAGGCCATTCTGCCATCAGTCACCTTCCTCACTTAAAAGGCTTTTTGTTTTGAATGCCTCAATTAATGAATGACCAAGGTGAAAGACTGGTGGGCCAGCTGGACCTACTGGATCCTCTGAACCTTTTTCACCCTGAAAATATATGGCATTTCAATACAGGAATTTGCATTATGTTTTTAACATGAAATTATATGAAATAAAGTGAAAACCCCAACATATACGAAGAAAAAAAGTATGATCTGTGCAAACAAAAGAATTTTCAGTAGGAAGCCTGGAGGAAAGAGTCTAGCAACTTGTGCCTACAACTTTGGCAATCACGCTGCTGAATCTGTATCATTTGGAATCTTTATAAAGAGACAAACATTTTACATAGACTGAGAGATTTGAACTCCAGCTTCAAACTCCCTATGTAACAAATACATTCTTCTCTTACCAAAAATCAAATAAAGCAATACTACCAGGTATGCGTCATGGCATGGAGAAGTACAACACTATATCTGAAACAGTCTGCTAGGCTCCATCAAGCTTCTGCAAAAGTTTAAGTAATCATAACCCAAACCAGTAGTAATGATAAAAATAGTAATGACAGAATATATAGTTTGGTTTTTTTTGTAAAGGGAAGAGCAGCAGTAGACTTAGATAACTAAATTAATAATTGACGTCTTTAAACACAGTGTTAACATTGCATTGAAATATAGAAAACTCCAGCAGTACTTAGGTGCTTTTGTATTTCTGAGATGATTTAGTTATTTTGGCCAGACAGGACATAAACACAACAAATCTCAAAAATTAACATAAACTAAACAAAAAGCCAGCCTGCCAGGAATCAAATATGGAAATGCATAACAAAGTTGTAGGAAAAAATAGCCTCCAGTTAATATCTAAAAAAACATTAACTAGCCTTGGTATACCTTGGTCTCTTATGAATTTTAATATATCTTTAAAGAAGAAGTTAAGTTCAAAATGGAGCTTTCACTGTATGAAGTTTCCACATGATTAAAAATTCTTAAAGAACTCAGAGATTTGTACATAGAGCAAACTTGGAATACCCTGCAGTCAGAGCAAAGAAAAAAATATATGTACATCATCCACAAAGAGAAATTGCTGAAAATAGTTTGAGATACAAGGGCATGAAAGCAATTGTTACATATAAATTCACATTAGAAATAAGCAGATCTTACAAGGAATATAACAGGGACTGATCATAAGTGCAGGCAATGTTTGAGAGGCCAAAAAATGTAGGAATAAAATGTGACTTGATGAAAGTCAAGATGAATTAGATCCTTAATGATTTGGGGGTTTAAATGTGTAAGTTTATTTAACTATATCAATTACAAGAAAAAAACTATATAAAAATCACTTGTTATGCAATGGTGATTAAGAGATTAATAATCACTTAGGTAGAACCTCAAAACTAAAAAAAATATTCTGTATTATTTACAAATAAAGATGCTACTATTGGACAAACATGCAGATGTGGAGGCAGCTAGATGCAAACTAAAAGGGTAAATCAGGGCATGGAAAACAGAAGGAAAGATCCAAGAGTTTAAAAAGGTTCAGGAGCATTAGAGGAATTCACAACCTCACTAATGAAATACTGCTGCAGTATATATTTTGAGATCAACACAGGAAACATAACTTCTGCATGTGGTAGAATGATCAAATATAAAATATCTACGTCCCAACAGTTCATGTAACAGTTCCAGTAACTGTGACACAGTCGTGCCTCGGTGGTAACATTCTTTTGCATTCTGAAACACCAACGAGCTCTCACCTTTCTATTAACTTACCTTGTACATTGTAGTAACAGCATCTATTGCTTCAAAGTACCATCTTTCATTTTTAACCTCTCTGAATCTCTCTTGTGCCAAAGACACAGGAAACAGCTCTTCTGCAGCTTGTGCATTTGTTAGCACTTTATTGGGACCATCATTAGGACTCAAGAAACGAGCAGGATGTCAGACAGTCAAGCTGCTGATTCCCTAGGACCTGAAAAACTTACCCTTAGAATCAAAGTTAGATGATGAGATTAGTGCAAGTGTTACCTACTTTTATAAACTGAATTCCCATACTTTCCCATGGAAAAGTGTTATGAAGACACAAACTGAAGTTCATCTTTGTTACAAAAGGAACCACCAGTGATTCTTGGAAATCTTGGTGATTCTTGGAAACAGATGTGAAAAAGTCACTAAGATCCACTTCAACAGCAGCAGAGGAAATGCAATGATGAAAATGAAACAGATAAGCATGAAAATCCAGTCTGCCAATTTTGCCTTTGGTATATGATAGACTACTTAATCTGAATTACTTTTGTATTTTTACACATCCTTTGGTCTATTTTATTTATCAAAATAACTGCTGAGCTCTTAAAGATTTCTGTTATTAAGGAAAAAACCAGCTGGTTTTATGAAGAAAAGTGCTTTTTAAATGGAAGGAATATTGCAACGAAATCTAAACCAACTAGTTGTTGCAGCACTAAATGACATTCATGGCTTAAATTAATGAACTCTGCAAAAAATTAACACATAAAAAGTAGTTTGTTATACAAATTCTCCACTATGCTTGGAGACAAGAAAAAAAGACAGCAGACATTAACACAAATGATGTTCAAAGCCACTCCATACACATGTTAAAACTAAAGGCACTAAATGCATGCAAATCATTGAAAAGATGGATGAACAGTGATTTATCATACATTTTCTTAAAAATGTTTTGCTAAGTTATAAAAATATTGGAGAGGGCCATTAAAATTATATGCTGTAATTCAAAAAAGAAAATAGGAAAATATTTAATAAGGAAACCAAAGTATATTAATTTCCTTTCTTTTTTTAAAAAAGGAAGTAAGAAAAGCAGCTAAAGTAAGGAGCTAATGTCCTGACTCTAACAGTGCTGAAGAAAACTTTTAAAATGTGATGCTTAAATATTTCCAGGCCAAATACCATTGTTTCTATATGAAGGAAGTTGCTCTGAGAGAATCTGAAGTTGTCCAACTAATACTTCAGTTTATAACTTTTATTACAGACAATTTTCAATAGCATTAAAAACAAAAGGAGAAAAGTAACAGTTCGCATCTCCATGGCTTGCAGAAAAACAGGTTGTAAAATGCTAATCACATAGAAGTGAGGAAATATGTATTTTTTTCCCCAGGTAATTTATGTGAAAAAAGTGTATTTTATGATTGGCTTTTTGCAAGTATTAAAATGAATGTTGTATTGTGCTAGAAAGTTATGCTATATTAATTTTCTTAAGTAGTGTATTAAATATAGTTTTAGGTTATAACATAATGTTAAAATAGAAACTATGCTATGCAAGATATTTGTTTAAGAAAGGACTCGCACCAGATAGAAGCCACAGGACACCTAAATCTTTCAGAGAAAGGGAATGTATTGCTCCCTTATCAGCAGAAAACTAACTTCTTCCCACCTCGCTCAGACAGGAAGAGGGCATGAGGATTAAGAGGAAGAAATTGACAGTAACCAGACAGAATCCTGTGTTTGAATGGAATTTATGCATCATGTATGAGATGTATGAATATGCAACAGGCAATTGCTTTTAAGGGTTAATCCTCTGTTAACGGGGGTTCTTTTTCAGGCTTGTGTTGCCCAGAAAAAGGTACCCGGACATCCGTATGTCTTTGTTTTTATTGTCTCATATTGTCCTAATCTCAAATGTTCACATTTTATTATTCTAATTATACTACTATTTTCATAACCATTTTATTACTATTAAACTTTTAAAATTTCAAAAACAAGTGATTGGCGTTTTTCACATTTATATGCAAGAAAACTTTAGAATTGTGTCATCAAACAACGGGAAAAGTTGCCCAGAGATGGTATGCAGCTCCCAACCCCCGAGCTCTGGCTGTTTGTAGGTTCCCAGAAGGAGGGGGCAGAGTGAGACTGGACATGAGGGACAAATTCTTTGCTGTGAGGGTGGCGGGGCAGTGGCACAGGTTGCCCAGAGAAGCCGGGATGCCCCATCCCAGGAAGGGTTCAAGGCCAGGAGGAACGGGGCTCTGAGCGACGTGCTGCACTGGGAGCTGTCCTGGGCAGGGGCCTTGGAATTGATACCTTAAAATTTCAGCTTTTATGTATTTCATATATTTGTTACCCTGCAATTCTTTAGTGTATAACTCAACTCCATACAGAATGTGAGCAATAAGAAACGTAAACAAAAGTGAGTGGGATGGGACGGGTGGGGAGAAAACTTGGGTAATGACCTGAAGCTGTAATTGGAAGATTAACCCCCAATATGCAAACGGATCAAATTTATGAAAGTACGAAAACTGGCGACCCGTGGTCCCTTTCTGGGTATAGCCCCTGAGGGAGCTTCGTCTGCCCTTAATGTACCTGGAGGCCCCTCAACAATTATAACCGCTTTTTATTATCTTAATTTTGTCTGGCCTCAGTTTTTAGGCAGTCCCAAAAGAATCAGGATTAGATGCTCTTTGCGGTCACAGAGTGCTTCAGGCTGGAAGGGGCCGCATTGGGCGCTCTGGTCCAACCGCCCTGCTCCAGCAGAGCCACCCTGGAGCCCATTGCCAGGAATGTGTCCCAAGGGTTCCCGGCCCTCTCCAGCCCGGGATTCCCGCTCGGTTCCCCTGAGGGAGGAAGCGGGACGCGACCGGAAGCGAGCGCGGGCGGCGCTTCCGCTTCCCCGGCGCGCCGGAAGCGCTGGTGCGCTTCCCGTTCCCGCGGCGGGCTGGGTGAGCGGCTGCCGCGGGCTGGGTGAGCGGCGGGCTGGGTGAGCGGCTGCCGCGCCCGGGAGCCCACGGACGGACGGACGGACGGATGGAAGGAGGGTGGGTGCGAGGGTGGCGGACTCCCGGCTCCGGTCCGCTCTCGCGGCCGCCCCCGCGCTCCGCGTCTCCTGCCCCCTGGGAACGGGCTGCGGCCGGGGGACGGGTGGGCTGCAGGCACACAGAGGCGGCCCAAGGGTAGTAAATAATGCTGATTTTTCATACCTGCCGGTCTTGCCTGCCCTTGTCCTCTGTCATAGCAGAGGTGTGCGGGGTCTGCGGGGTCTGTTTGCCTGTAGTCACGGGTAGCTGCCGGAAGCGTGAAGGGAGCTTTGACAGTGATGTGCCCATTTGAATGCTGCTGGACCAGATACGAACCGAGTCAGGGTAGCATTGGGGCAGGTGGTGGGGCTGGGAGATGTGCAATAAATTGCCAATTTGAATTTCTGTTGAAATCTTCCAAGGCAGGAAGCCTTTCTAGCCTATGGAGCAGGTTTTAGACAAAACTGCCAGACTCTAATTTTTGTCACTTAATGCTTTGTAATTAGGCAGGGAAATTCTCTGGTAGGTGTTTGAGGGCGTGGCTCTTTCCCAGCGGCACACCCACGTATCTCGGGTAATGTCTTCTTGCTCAATACTGCTGTGCAGTTTGTAAACCCAGCAAATCCTGTTGTCATCGGTTTGTAGGTGGCCGTGTTGGTTCTGTCTTGGTACATACATACCAGCAAAAACAGCAGGTGCTGTGAGGAGAATGCTTAAGGATTTGGCCTCTAATATGTTATGAGATAAACTCTTGGGCTAAAAAGAATTTGGTTTTGTTTGTTTAGTGGTGATTTCAGATAAAGGGCTTGGGTTTTGATAAGGTTCCTACAAATTATTTTCTCAACAGGTTCTGTATGCATGGATATCACCTGAATCTTCTTAGCAGACCTTAAATTGTGTGTCAGCTTACCCTAGCCATGAGTGGCTCCAAACCTGATATCCTGTGGGCCCCACACCACGTGGACAGATTTGTTGTGTGCGATTCAGAGCTGAGCCTTTATCACATCGACTCTGCTGTGAGTTCAGAGCTCAAGGCAGGGTCCTTGCGGCTGTCGGAGGAAACTACGGCCACGCTGCTCTCCATAAATTCGGACACGCCGTACATGAAATGTGTGGCTTGGTATCCCAAGTACGATCCCGAATGTCTCCTTGCTGTTGGGCAGGCCAACGGCCGGGTGGTGCTTACCAGCCTCGGGCAAGATCACAACTCAAAATCCAAAGATTTGATAGGCAAGGAGTTTGTTCCCAAGCACGCTCGGCAATGCAATACCCTGGCGTGGAACCCCCTGGATAGCAATTGGCTTGCTGCTGGCCTAGATAAACATCGGGCTGACTTCTCCGTGCTGATCTGGGATATCAGCAGCAAGTACGCCCCAGAGACTGCAGTTGCTGCAGAGAAAGTGAGGCTTTCAGCAGGAGATGCGGATGCAGGCCTGGTAGTCACAAAGCCACTGTATGAATTAGGACAGAATGATGCTTGTCTCTCTCTCTGTTGGCTTCCACGGGATCAGAAACTGCTCTTAGCTGGAATGCATCGAAATCTGGCTATCTTTGATCTTAGGAACACAAGCCAAAAAATATTTGTGAACACCAAGGCTGTCCAAGGAGTGACTGTTGATCCCTATTTCCACGATCGTGTTGCTTCCTTCTATGAAGGTCAGGTTGCCATATGGGATTTAAGAAAGTTTGAAAAGCCTGTTTTGACCCTGACAGAGCAACCAAAACCCTTAACAAAAGTTGCATGGTGTCCAACAAGGACTGGACTGCTTGCTACTTTAACAAGGGATAGTAACATCATTAGACTGTACGACATGCAGCATACTCCCACCCCTATTGGAGATGAAACTGAGCCAACAATAATTGAGAGAAGTGTCCAACCATGTGAAAATTACATTGCTTCATTTGCCTGGCATCCCACAAGTCAAAATCGAATGGTAGTAGTGACTCCCAACAGGACTATGTCCGACTTCACGGTTTTTGAAAGAATTTCTCTTGCGTGGAGCCCAGTGACATCCTTAATGTGGGCTTGTGGACGACATTTGTATGAGTGTACAGAAGAAGGAAAGGCTAGTTCCTTGGAAAAAGACATAGCAACCAAAATGCGCCTCAGAGCTCTGTCAAGGTATGGTCTTGACACTGAACAAGTTTGGAGAAATCACCTTCTAGCTGGAAATGAAGATCCTCAGCTGAAATCGCTTTGGTACACTCTGCATTATATCCTTTATTTTATTTATTTTTTGTCCTAAGGAAGTAATACACCTTTATATGTAAACCACTTACATAAAATGCACTAAAATATTTAAATACAATGCAACATCCTGTAAATACTTTATATCTGTTAACAGGATGTGACTTAAAATTTTTTAAAACATTTTTTTGGGAAAAATTAAACTTCCTATACATGAAAATACTTATGAAGCAGTATACTGAAGATATGGATCAAAAACTTACAGGAAACAAAGGTCCCTTAGTTTACACTGGCATTAAATCAATTGTGAAGTCATCTTTGGGTAAGAATGTTCCAACTTTGCTAAGTATTGTTGTAGTGTGTTTGCAGAATGATGCACTCATGAGTTTGTCTTTGGCAGTTGTTCAAAGAGACTATTCAAAAATATAAAAACAAAGTGTTTGTGTTTTAGTAATGTAAGTTAACAATAATTTCCAGAGTTTTCAATGTTCTTGGAAAGTCAGTAATTGTAGAAGCATAGTATCCTCAGAAGTAAATCTTTGAACTGTTTCAGACATTTGGGTTTTGACTATGGGACTAAGAATTCTTGCTCCCTGCATATTATACTTTTTTTGCATAATATTATATTCTCTGTAGATTATTATATTTTTCAAAGCTCCACATCAGGGTGTGGTGACTTTGCTGTTGTCACTGCTGTTGTATTAAGTACATTTGTATGACTATGTTTAAATAAGCTGACCTTTTCTGAAGTGGTGATCAACCCTGGTTCATCACATTCTGCCTCTCAGAGTCACTGAAATCTTCCATAGTATAATTTATTATTTGGATACTTCTTTCTCTCTTCAGTATATGTCTTATTAATAACTATGCTTCTTGGAGCAGAAAATGAGTCTTCAGTGGTGGGAAAGCTCCTAACACATGGATGCTGGCTGAGAGCCGGTAGAGCAGTTGCTTGATGGTGTGTTATGTATTTTCAATTTGAACATACTGAGAACTGTCAAATGTAACAAGTGGTAGAAGAAAGAAAAAAGACAGAAATATGTGTCAAGCTTAGGTGCATAATTTTTAGTAGATCAAAATAATTTTGTGCATGCTGCTCCTTGCATGGAGTTGTAAGCAATGTTAAAGTACTAAAATGTGATACTCAGCTTTTGTACCCTGCTTTGTGATTGAAATCAGTGCCTTGTGTTGTGATTGCAATTGAAACTGTCATTTAAGCATAATTTAACTTATTTCCCATTTCTAGGAACAACAGAGAACCTCAGGCACAGCAGGAGTGGATCTGATAGACAGGCAGATATTATTCAATATCTGAGTGAGGAGAGATCTTTGGCTTTGCAGCTCTGTGGGTGGATAAAGAAGGGAACAGACTTAGATGTGGAACCTTTCCTAAATTCATTGGAACAGGAGGGAGACTGGGAGCGAGCAGCTGCTGTAGCACTTTTCAACTTGGACATACGGCGAGCAATACAAATTCTGAATAAAGGGGCTTCCTCGGGAAAAGGTGTGTATTGTGTTTAGTTTTTTATTGGCATTGTATCACATTAGTAGATTTTTTTCTGTTAACAGAATTATGGAAGATAGTGTGGAAAAAGTACGGAAGAGATGCCTGTTGTGTTGTAAAATTGTTGCTTGAAACACTTATATTGGAGCTTGACAAATCCTGGTATTTCACTCATCAGACTACCATATACCATACTGTCTATTTAAAATAGATCATATGTTTCAGAATTTTCTTCCTGATAAAAGCCTCAGAAAGACTTATGTTCAGAACTAGTGGGATTCTTTTTACTTTAATGGAGCTGCTGGGGGAAGCAGTGTCTGTCTGTGCTTTCCACAGGGAGGAGTCAGAGTGGAGACATGCTATTTTCTAATTCAAGAATAAAACTGAACTTTCTGACAGAATTAATATTTTGCTTTAATAGTTTTCATGTCTTTAGGAAACTTCTTAGCTTGAAACTATTGTATAAAATTGTTATCCTCCAGATAGGTCTGTTAAACAGTGGCTGGATATACAATCCTGTGTTTTCACTTCTTATGGATATGAATTAAGATAATGACAATCTTTTGTGATAGCTATTTCAAAATACCACAAGTAGCGTGATGTTGTTTAAAGAGGTTGTCATACATGTAGATGCTAACTTACTGAACAAAGGCATTTAAAGCAGAAGCTATTGTACATGGTAGTGTGTGCACATTAATTTAGGTAGTGTTAATTCTACTGCATTTTATGTTGTATCCTGACAAAACATTGTGTTTCATATGGATGCTTTCATTTACAGTTTTAACTGGAGCTTTCTTTAAGTCCTTAGGTTGAATAATATTGTTTTACTTTTCATAAATCAGGTGATCTGAACCTTAATGTCGTAGCAATGGCTCTGTCAGGCTACACAGATGAGAAGAACTCACTTTGGAGAGAAATGTGCAGTACTCTAAGACTGCAGTTGAACAATCCCTACTTGTGTGCTATGTTTGCTTTCCTGACGAGTGAGTCGGGTTCATATGATGGTGTTTTGGTGAGTAAATTTCTGTGTTAGGTTAAAATTTCTTTATGCAATAGGAGCGTGTAGATACATGCATTTATGTAGGGGGAGTCCTATATACTCCAATAATTAATTAAATTTAAACCTATTGTTTTATCCTGGTGCTGGCAAATAGCATATCTGTCTGTAGAAGAGACATCTCATATTAGTGAATATTATGTTAGTGAATAAGTCATGCATGAACAGTCAAAATGTAGATTATAGTTAACACATTTTAGAGGAATTTTATTTTTAGAAACACTTTATCAAAATAATGTAAGCACTGGAAAGAAACAGAAGAGAGATTAATAATGGAATTGTAAGCCGCAGACTAAATGCAGGGGAGTTTGCAGAACTTTTCATCAACTTTCACTTTGGAGGAGTTAGCGTACTTGATTCCTGGTTAGAGAACAGTAGAAATACCTGATTCAGTAGGAATTATTTAGCCTAGGAGAGGACTCCTGTAATGCAGCAGAGTAATTGGCCCAAAGCTGTTGAAAGTGAAGTTGTCATAATTTGATGCTCTTAGGGTAATGAAAAATAAAAATGGCTAGAATCCTAGAGTAGAGAAACCTGATTCTTTTTTTTTCTTCTTTCTTTCTGTCTGTCTTTGAGAGAGAATATTGTTCTCTGGATGTTGGGTAGTACTTTTACAGATTTTTTTATAGATGAACTGGCAACTAACACATAATAAAGTGCTGTTTGTTTGGTTTTAATTTTAATTTTTCCTTCAGTGAGACCTGTTGAAGTCTGCATGAAAGATTTTGCCAAACACATCTTGTTCTGGCAATGTCAGTTACAATTTCTAATCTGAGAATATCAGAGGGAAAAATATGGGCATAGCTAAGTGTGAGAATTGATATAGAGAATTTGTTTTTTTTCTGCAGTGTCACATCTAGTAAAATGGTTAAAAAGCAGAAAGTAAATACTGATACACTGCTAGACCTCAAGTGTTAATATACTTCTGAGAAATTCATTCTGGATGTTTAGTTTTTGTTTGCTTGGGGTGTTTTGTTTGCTTTGTTAACTTTTGTTTGCAATTTAAGGAAGGAATGGAGCAGTTAGGCTAGTTATTATGTAAATACAGTAAGCGGAACTTGGTTTGTTTTTTTCTGCCTGTGACTTGGTGGGACACCTGGCTATACATGCTGGAAGCACTAAGTCCTCTACAGGACTTGCAAAGTTTATTTTTGTAGAATTTCATTAACCGTGTAGGATGTGTTGTACCAGACTTTCCAGGTAGATTGTTCCCATATCTGCAGTCTTCCCCTGATACCTGTACAAACAAGTACAAACAAGTAAGCTGATATTTAGGGTTAGCCTTCTCCAGATGTCACATTGTCTTTGTACACAATCATGTGCATTGTATTAGTTAGACAGTAGTGCAAGTGTTTTGGTTTTTACAATGTGTTGGAAAAACAGAAACATGTATCTGATGTTAGTAATTCCCATTTTTCTCTCTGAAGTATGAAAATAATGTAGCTGTACGAGACAGAGTGGCATTCGCTTGCAAGTTCCTCAATGATGCTCAGGTAAGTTTGTGGTTGCACATTTAAACAAACTTTTAAACTGGGCTTTATTCAGAGGCAGAAGAAACTCTGGGGTAGAAGGGTGAACAGTGGAAATAATGAGTCATGAGTGATTTGGTTTTTCTTACCACAGTAAGAAAATACTATACCACACCTAATATATAAGGTGTGGTATAGTCTGGGTTTTAGTTTGTACTTCCAGCTTAATTTTTGATTTAGTTTTTGGTTGGTTGGTTTGGGGGCTTTATTGGTTTTGTGGTTTTGGAGGTTTTTGTGATTATTCATTACATGGTAGTTCAAATGCAGTTGCATTAACTGTACACCTGTTTTACTGGAGAGTATTTCTTCAGTATTTATTTCCAGGTGTTAATTTTCTCTCAAATTATGGTTTGGTCTTGCAGCAGAAATGTTCTATTTTAAATTCACCAAAGTATTCTAAGAATACATAACCTCACTCCTTGCATTTTCTATCAGGAAGCCTAAAGTTTGTTTATAAACACTTGATTTCATGCAGTGTCATATGATATAGTAATGTAACTTTTTCTGCATAACATCCAGCAAGTAATGCAGCAGCTGCAGATGCTGTTTTTACATGTATTTCTTCATATATATGTTTTTTTATAGCTCAACAGGTTTATTGAAAAGCTGACAAATGAAATGAAAGAGGCTGGGAATTTGGAGGGAATACTGTTAACAGGGCTGACAAAAGATGGAGTTGATTTGATGGAAAGTTATGTTGATAGAACTGGAGATGTCCAGACAGCAAGCTATTGCATGCTACAGGTTAGTGTTTCACTTCAAAATAAATTTTATGGAGGAAAACAAAATGTTTCTTTATGCGGGTAGTGTTGAATCTTGTGAACTAAAAAGTGTTTTCTGTATTAAACTGGGATGATTGGTTGTTTGGTTATTTTTGTGGGGTCATCTGAAACTCAGTTTCGGGATAAATGACACTGTATTATTTCTTATATCTTGTAGTACACTTTGTAAAGGCTTTTGAAAAAGTGAGTAATATGAATTGTGTGTCTTTAATGTATGTCTAACATTTTTTCCTGCCTGCTTTAGGGTTCCCCATCAGATGTACTTAAGGATGAAAGGGTTCAGTACTGGATTGAGAACTACAGGAATCTTTTAGATGCCTGGAGGTTTTGGCATAAACGTGCAGAATTTGATATTCATAGAAGTAAGCTGGATCCCAGCTCAAAGCCTTTAGCCCAGGTAAATATAAATCCTATATGAAATATGACCAGTCCAGAAAGGAACATGGCATGGTACTTCTGTAAAAAAATCCTTGCTAGCCATATCTTGGTTTTCATGAGGATTTATGTGCAAAAGAAAGACTTCAACTTAGCCTGCCCTAAAAAAAGGAGGTGTCACTTTTTTTTTTTTTTTTCCCAAATAACAGATCTTTCCGAAATTGTAACCTATCAACACTCTTCTTTTGGGGAAACTGGAAACTCATTTGATTTTTTTCCTCTCACATGCTGAAATATGAAATCAGAGATATATCACTGAATTCAGTGTCAGCGTGAGACTGATGCTGAAACCATGGAACTAGTGCAAATTGCTTTTGTTTTAATTGAAAAAAACCTTCAAAGCTGTTTTGAAGCCCTTGAACCTGAAACTAAAGTGAACAGCAGCAACTTTTCATTATCAGTCCTAACATACACTGACCTAAAAACTTAACGCCCTACCCAAATGCTGTCTTCTTAACATCTGGTGGCAGTTTCAGCCAACATGGTCGTACCTTGTCACCTTTTACTCTCTCATGTCTGCTAAGTATGGTCATTATGAGCTTTAGGGCCTGAGAGTTTCTGAGGAAAGCTGGTTTTGAATTCATTTATCAGTCATCGCTGTTTAAGCAGAGTTGTTCCAAGTGGGAGGGAGTTGAGTTTACTGCTCCTTCCTTATGTTGTTAAGATAAATAGCCCTAAAGAACTTGAAATATGTGCTCCTTGGTATCAAGTCACAACTTGTGACACAAGGGATGTAGATAAATAATATTAGGATAATCCTTATGTTGCAGATTGTAGTGTGAGTCATCTGACTATAGGGAGGGAGAGAACAAACTTTATATAGTAAGGAGAATAAACCTAATTTCTTCCATTACTGAAGATACAGCTTTTATTATTTTAAATAATATCTTTCAAAGTTTTAGCAAATGTTTTTAAGTGCTTTTAAAGTTAGTAAGCATCATTAAGGCCTACTTCTCAGGGCTGTGTGCCTCATCTATAAGCCAGGCTGTTAAGAACTCCTTCACAAGTAGGCTTGGCTTTCCAAGGCACTTGCTAGAATATTTGGTAAATAAATGTTAATTACCTTGAATGGATTCACTCACAGGTGTAGCAAAAGTGGAACCAAACCAAAAAATTAATGGGCATCTGTTCTCTCTAGGTGTTTGTGAGTTGCAATTTCTGTGGAAAATCAATCTCTTACAGCTGTTCAGCTATTCCTCATCAGGGGCGAGGTTTTAGCCAGTATGGAGTCAGCGGTTCTCCAACCAAGTCCAAAGTTACGAGCTGTCCTGGCTGCCGAAAGCCCCTTCCCCGCTGTGCACTTTGCCTAATAAATATGGGAACCCCAGTTTCCAGCTGTCCAGGTATGACACACTGGGTTTTAGTTATTCAGCTGCAGTACTAGTTGGAGGCCAAATTAGCAGTTCTATTGAAATATCTTCTGTTGCACTTTGTTTTCTATTTGTGCTTATACTGTAAATATTCGTAGTCATCATTTTGGGAGAGGGACCATAATTGAGAATTTGTTTACATCCCATCTAATTTTGGGATGAAACCTTTGTTTCAATTCTTAATAGTCAGACAGTATGCATAGTTACTTGGTTCTCACAGTTTTCCATGAGCTTGTCAGTCAAATTCCATGGTTAGATAGTTGTAAAGATCCAAGTATTGTGGGGATCAGTGTCGTGAGCTTTATGACTGAAAGGAATGGAGGATGTGTTTTCTTGAGATCAATTGTAGGCATGCTACACAAATCATTGAATGTAAATGAATTAATTTTAGCTGGAGGAGGAACAGTGGTGTGGTGTACTTTCTGTTACTAAGTATGAAAGAAAGCATGGGTCATGCTGTCACAGCTAAGAGGTATTATGACTGGAATTGTTTAGTTGTAAATGCCTTTGGCTTGGCATTATATAATGTATACATGAAAAGGATTTCAACTATTTTTTAAGTCAGTCTTATTACAGGGCCATGAGCAGCTGTACACTTGTCATGTTTATTTACCTCTTCTCATTCTTTTGCTGATCTTTGTTATGACTTCTGTATTGTACTTGTTCCAGTTCATAATTGAGATTTTGACTTTTTTTTCTAAAACAGAAGATTTCATGTGCAGCAGAACAAGCCCATAATTCACTGTACTATAAATCTATCAATAACACATAAAACACCATTGAAAGAGATTCTGTCTATAAAACTTGTTCAGTAGGCAAGTTTAGCATATCTATAAGATATGAAGCAACAGTTTAGCATTCTAATTCTTTTTCGGCATTCTTCCAGCTCTTAGTATTTTTACTGACTTCTATTTTAAGATCACAGTGCTTTTCCACATAATGTTCTTATTTCAAAATCATTTTAATGGTGTTGTTGAGACTGAAATGCAAATGAAGTGTAATGATTTACAGCCATATTTGTGGGGGTGGGTTTGCCTCTGGACAGGAGGATCCAAGTCAGATGAAAAAGTGGATCTTAGCAAAGACAAGAAGTTAGCCCAGTTCAACAACTGGTTTACTTGGTGTCACAACTGTAGGCATGGTGGACATGCTGGCCATATGCTGAGCTGGTTCAGGTAAGTTGATGTTAAAATTTTGTAATTTCACATGTGTGTTCTGCACTGAGTAGAACATGTGTCCTTCCCTGTATCTATAAAATCTATCATTATAAAGTTTAAATAATAAAACTGAACTGTGATGCTGAGTTTTTTCTGAGATGCTACACCTCTGCACATAGTTAAATATGTAATTGTAAAATTATTTTACCTGTTTTTTCTTTTTTTGGCTGTTGCTACTTAGGGACCATACTGAGTGCCCAGTTTCTGCCTGCTCTTGTAAGTGTATGCAGCTGGATACAACAGGGAATCTCGTTCCAGCAGAGACTGTCCAGGCATAAATACTGTTAGAAAATGTTTGGCTCTCTAATGGATGTCCATCGTAGTCCAAGCAGATATTTTAGACAAAGGTAATTTGTGACTTACTGTGAAAAAATAAATTGCTATCAAAGTACTAAAATGATGTGTGTATGACTGTGCTTGGTAGAAACAGGTATTTCTGAAGTGAGCCTATAGGTACAGTGCATGGCCCTTATTCAGAGAACTGAAGAAGAGCACTCCTGGAATTGTGGACTCTTTGAATTTGCTAAAATGCAAAGAAAACCTTTATTAAAAAAGTTTTCAGGATAATTCTGATTGGTCCCAAAGCTGAGTTTATATGCTGTGAAAGCAGACCTTCAAAATAAACACTTGAAAAGAGGATGGCAAAGTTATGCTGTGGATTCCTCTGTTCATTGTTTGACCACTGTCTTGTATGCAAATATTTGTTTGTTTCCTTGTAGTTTATTCAACGTGCCACTGCTAACTGCCTTCTAAACATTTTTATTTTAAAGAAAAATCCTTTTCTTTCTGTTCCCAGGTTTTGTTGATAGTAAAGCAATGTCTTTACAATTCAAGTTCTTACTAAAGTAGGCTACATATCTAGCTGATGCAGATTTTAATGCTGAAGAGTTAGGGGTTTCTCCTAGCAATGACTGTATCCTAGAGAAGAGTTCCCTGAGAAGTCATGTGACTGTTTCAGTGCAGGGTAAACTATAGGAGGTTCTATCTGATACATTTTTAACTGAGTACTGTGAAGATTTGAAATCTCAAGGACTGGAGACTTGTAAATACGTAAGTTTGAAACTACATGCAGAGTTTTGACTACAAAAATATTTGAAGACTTTGAGATAATCAGCATTTCCCTGTACTTCTGAAATATAGTGAGAAGTGTGGAACCAACCTGTATAAATCGTGCTTCTGGTCACTAGTGGACACCCATCTGCTCCCAATTTTGAGTAACTGATCAGAGTACTTCTAGATGTAAGAACTTAATTCCAGTTACCAGCTGGAATTAAGATTATTTATTAACTTGAGAGAACATCAATGATATTTTGCTAATCCTGTGCTAGGAGCTAATTGGTATTGTTGTCCTTGACTTTGTAGGCAACATTCACACAAATTAGGGAAAAAAACCAAACCTGTTTTAAGGTATCTGATAATAACATCAGTTTACTTGGTGTGTGTTTATTTACAGTATATGAGTTACTCAACACTTGTGTGCTATGAAATACTAAATGGAATGCTAGCAATAAACTGGTACAGTTTGCCAGGACTGTGAAAATTGGTGTTTCAAAGAGAATATATTGTAATATACCACTAGTTCTATGTGCTCTAGCGTAGTTTCAAGAAGATAAAATGTGGAAATGTACAAGATGTACATGTACTGTGGATGTACAAGATTACATTCAGGACTTTGGGTTATATTTTCTGAGTTAGCATTAATGTTGTAATAAATCTGCATTTATTTTCATCTAAAATTGGCAAAGATAATTTTTTTAGTTAAAAATCTAAGAGGTACTTGATATTTGTAGGCATGGGAGAGCAGTTGCTTTTTTTTTCCTTTTCGAATATTTATTTCTCATTCCAGTATTTTTGCACACTTCACATTGCTGTTGAAGAGCTCTTCAAAATGTTCTCCATTTATAAATGTAAACTGGGGCTTACTGTATGATACTCTATTTATATAAATACAGGCAATAAAGGTTTTGGTTTATGTAAATGAGGATTGGTAAGTGTCAAGTGTTTGCTTTTTTTTCTTGTGTAGTAACATTTAGTAAATTTCCCAGATAATTTCCATGTTGAGGTGAATGCAACTACCAACATACACTGTCTCATTTTCTCATGTAAAGAAAATTAATCTATAATATTTCCACCTCAACTATAACTGTTTGACAGTTATAGTTGAGGTGGAAATATTATAGATTAACACTGTGTATGTCAAATTCTATCACTAATTTTAATTGCTCACTTTAATACTCATATCTTTGCAGTGCTTTGGATTATGAATGTGTATATTCTGGCACTAAGGGTTTTGGTTGTTGCAATTAGTAATCAGGCTTTCAGGTCAGTAGTTACACAGTTTGCAAAATTTACAAAAAGCTCTACGTTTTTTAATTACCAGATTTTTTTGTTTTTAAATTAACAAATCTGTCACTATTGGGGCGATTTCTTGCTTTCTAACAAAAATATAGCTACACCCATTTTATTAGTTGCAGGTTTTTTTTTTGTTTGTTTATTGTTTGGTAAATCTCAGTTCATCTCTTCTGAAGTTGTCCTTTTATGCTAAAATATTGTGATCCTGTGGCTCATGCTGATTACATTCCACTGTTGTAATTTTGTTAGATGCTCCAGCCTTGCAGCCCTTCCATTAAGCACAAGCACTTCATCATCACACAGGCTCCTTGCTCGTGAGCACCACACGAGTTGTGCACATGCCTGTGCCCAAGCCAGGACAGCAGAGCAGGCAAGCAGGGTCAGCCAAGAGCTCAGGAGAAAGGTATCAAGTCTCAGAAGTCAGTCATAAATATAGTGGCAGTAGTCCTGTTCCAAACAGCATGAACTTCTGGAAGTATGCCCCTTCTCCTCTCCCAGGTTCCCACCATGCATCAGCCTCCTGTCCTAAAGAAGCCACTAGCTCCTCTTCATGCCTTCCATTACTGGTCCATTACTGGCTTTGGTGAAATCCCTCTCTGGTGTTTCTGATTCAGTTGCCCTGGTGCCTCCCCTTTGGTCAGTATGCCATGAAGCCCCTACTTCCCATTTTGTTTTCTGTGAGGGCTGGCAGTTTCTCACCTTTCATCCAGTGTGTGGTGCCTGGGGCCTCTAACCATCAGGCCTAGCTGACATGGTTGTGTCTTTCCCATGGTATTTAAAACAGCTGGCAGTTTTCAGCATGGCAGTGTAGGGAATTATGCTGATAAATGCATATATGATCTGAGCACTACTCCAGTACCAAGAATGTTTCACAGTTCCTTGCATTGCTGTGTGATTTGTACAGCCATGAAGCCAGGGTAGGCCATTTATTCACACAGACTGATGGTCTGTAGAGAAGCAGACAAATGAAAAGCATCTAAGGGAAACTTAGTTGTGTACAGTTTGCCCAGCCACCTTTCACTGCTGCAGGACTGCATGAATGAGAAGAGTCTTGACTGACAAAGGGAAACCAGCATTTCCCACTTGGTGTGCTCAAACTTTCCCTCCCGAGACCTCATCCCCCAGGCTGTCTCTGCAGTGCTAAAGCCATCTAGTGGCAGAATGCTCCACTGGGCAGGGGTGGTCTGAGTAACTGTACATAACATTACAGAGTATATGTACACACACAAAACACCAATTTTCTAAAGCAGAATAGAACAAAATAGTTTTAAATGCTAGGAAAACATGCATCCAGTTATTAAGAATGAAATGACATTTGATTCTACTGAGCACTTAAATAAAGTGATGATAGACAGGGCATGGTATTGTGCCACATGGACCTTGAGTTGTTTGTAGGAAACCGCTTCCTACTTCCAAGACCTCCTTCCCAGTCAGAGTAACTGTGTATCTGGAACAGAGTATCTGTGTTCTAGGAGGGGAGGGAGGAAAAAATAGATCCTCTGATAACTTGATCATCCCGTCCAGTTTATAGTGAGTTCAAAGTGCAAGTTTTTGAAACATATTCTTTGACTAGAAAAAGAGATGTCTATAAATAAGCACAAAGCTATCAGTCTTATTAAGGCACTAAATCTAACTACTAAACCTGAAACCTGTTTGTACAAAAGTTCAAAGAACATGGCTACAGTTTACTTCAAATACTTTGAAATATTTTATTAATTCCCAGAGAATATTTCCAAAGTTCAGTTTTACTTTAAATGTGTTACCTCAAGCGATGCAGAAATTTTGCTAAGTGTTCTAAGTAGCCTGGATAGTAACAAAATTGGGGACTGTTGGAAGTTCCTAGGGTTAGTCACCATGACAAGCTGGCTGAATCCTGGTACTGCTGTTTAGATGCCAACCAAGAATGAAGGCTTTGATGGGATTTCAGCTGTACTTGAAATCCCTAAGCCTAATTCAACATCTCCCAAGTGCTTAGCATCATACAAAGGCAAGAACCTTGCACTCCACTTTGTTAAATTTAACTGTGTCAGGTCAAATAGAACAAGAGTCGCTACATATCACTGAAAATAGCACTCTAACATTTAATGCTGACACAAATGGTTAAACGCAGTGAATCTTCTTTATTGGTGAAGATACCATTTTCAAGATGCAAAATACCCCTTCAATACAATAAATTTATATCAAAGCAAATTAAGTCAAAAATCTTTATATTGAAATCCACCACATTTTTTCCATACAAATTTCCTGTAACGTACCCTAGAACCTCTACCAACTAGAAAAGGATGCTTAGAAAATTTCAGCTTCTGACAAGTCTGATATTGCAGGAGAACACTCCTCATAGATGCAAAAGGGTTAAATATATACAGTGAGTGAGACATTCATTTGTTCTCCTTGCCGAATAAATACATTTTCAAAGAAAATACTCTTCATAGGCAACACTTTGCACATGTAACAGTGTCTTTTCACTACATCTGTTGAAAATAAATGCAACTGTTACCATGCTGTCAGGCAAGAAATCACACTACTGTTGTCTCCTCTGAAGCTCTAAACATATGCTAATAAAAATCAAGTGTTCCTCCCAGTACCAAATGGGAAGTATTCAGGGAATTCATGAATAATTTTTAGTGCTTCATTGTAGAGTTCCAGATCTGAAAAAGGGCAAAGAAAATGGTTATAATGCATAAGTTCAATTCCCCACAAGTCACTGACAACATTCAAGCACTGCTTATTTTAAAGCAGTACTACTGAGTGATCCCAGTCTCTCTCAAGCTCCCGTTTTCCCATGACAGGAACACTCATTGCTTGTTTTCTGGAGGGTTACTTTTAAACCTGCTAGCTACACAACCACTCAATGTCCAGGGCAAGGTGAGAACCAGGTGGTCAGGAGTGGGAGAACAATCAGGCCACAGCAATGATCTAGATGGCTCCAGCATTGAGTCACTTCCTACAGTTTAACTGTAAACCACTATATTTGGTACAGAACTTTCCTCATTACACTCTTCTCTACACTCTATTCCTTATCTGGCAGCTTGAAGAAAGATCTTATCTGTAAAAAAAGGTAACTAGGCTTTCCCTTCTTATTTGCTGAAGATGAGTTCAGAACTCAAAATGAATTTGCCATAATGTATATTTACTTACCAAATGAACTTTTATCTTCTCTGAACTGGACATATGATGCACACATGATGGTTGCCTGATTTGTTACTCTTCCCACCACTTCAATAACTCCTGAAATCTCCTCATCCAGCTAGAAAAACACACCAAAGATGAAATTAGTGACACTACATAGCTTCTGTCTTTACTGCACAGCTAGGAACTCTCCACAGCTGATGGTTTGTTCATGACAGATTCTGTTCCATGTCAAACAATACAGTACTATTGGACAGCCCAGTCACCCTCCCCCCAAAACCCACAAAAACCTTGATCCACTTAGAGGTTTTGTAATAGCCAATTCAATACCAATTAAAAAAAATACAAAAATGCATCAGAGGAAAGATACTGGTTCATAAGTATATAAAACTGTGTCATTTAATCACTGAACAGAGAACTAATCTAGGACACAGAACAATTCTGATTTTAATGCACTGCATTCAAACCTGTGACAATTATAGAACTCTGTAAGAGTTAAGGAGGTATCACACATTCCAGAGAGCAGTTCCAATGTTCCACATTCAGAAGATATATCCGGAAATTATTTCTTAAGTAATCTGTCAGTAAGTGTTCGGAATACAAAGATACTGTCACTAATCAGCCTTTGGTGGAACAAAGGAAAAAAAGGGTAAAAATTATATCTTATACCAAAATAATCCAGCTTGAATGTTTTTTTTTGTTTTTAAGATACAAATTTTAACAGTGCAGTACTGTTTTGGTAATGCTTATCCAATATCTAAGGCTTATTTTTTACTTTCTAGTAAGTCTTCTGGAAAAATTCCCTCCCCATAATTTTGGGGTCCTCTGTTGAAAGAGGGAACTAGACATGCACAAAGAGCGAAATATATTGAAAGGGTAAAATAGTTAGAAAGCATTTTGAT